GCTTAAGCAGCAGAAACATTTGCTTCAGCTTAAAACGCCACCAAGCAAGTAATTTGTATTTCCTTTATTCTTCCTCTCGTTCGTGTAAATGTGTATAGATTTACTCCTTTTTCGCTATTAGCCACTTCTCTTTGCACATTTGTGTAAACACACTACTAACAAACCGCAAGTAGCATAACATCCTTGCATAACGGAAATCGTCAAAAATAAATCCGCTGCATTCGAGGTAATTATGGATTAACTTCCCCATGTCTACCCACTTAAACGGTCCGAGGTGCTGATTTTGATAGGAAATGCAGCCTAAGTACATGTGAGTACGTCGTCTTCCCTCTGATTCCTCGCTTAACTGGAGGGAATCATGTGTGACTTTCACTAAAAGACATGCCGTAACAGTTAAAAAGGACCACCCTTTTGCGACGTAAGACAAATATTGTCAATTAATGGTTAATCTTATCTTCCCAGCCGTCATGGCTATTGACATTACGCGGTTCAATATTTGCCTTTTTTAAGATGCAGAATGCAACAAAAAACGCATATCAAAGAGTTTCTTGAAATCCGAAACGACGTTCCCTATTACTCAGCATTTCTTACTAACACCAGTGAAGACGGTGTGGAAAGCATCAAAATTCTACAGGAACAGGGAAATACTAGGGCTCTTGTAAGGAGCTGGAAAGGAGTCTGAAAGAGCCACCTACTACAGATCATTGCCACATTTGCCACCCAGCAGCTAGGGTTAAAGTTGGATGCTCACACATCCTTGAAACAAATGTAACCTTAGTTAGGTTGCTGCCAAACAATCACCGAGGTGTGCCTAGTCTCACTTCTTCCACGGGTGACACGTTCTCGTTCAGTCAACAAACCTAAGCATACCTCTGCCAGATAGGAAGAGGTAATAGGTGGGAGCTTCTATTGTGCATTCAACTGTGCGGACACTTCATTCATTCTATGCTTGACTTGAGAAGAATGATATTTTGGGAAGAGACTATTCTGTGCAGCGTAGAGTTTTGCAACTAACCAAGTTTTGTTTTGCAGCAGATATGGTCTTCTCATCTACCTGCATGCCCATATAACCACCTACACACCTACCCACCCACTCACCGCTGCCAAGAATATGATGTTGTTTCTGAGTCAGTGTTAAGGACCCACTGACATAGCAGAGTAGATCACTACTTCTCTATCAGTGGTTGCAGGCGTTGACGTAACCCCAATAACATTGAGTCGAAGCAATTCAAACTGAAATCCTTGGGTCATCGAACGAATATCTAAGATGATTAATAACTGCATCCTGGTGTTCCGTATTTTACATGATGGGGGATATTTGACTACGTCATCCGACGAGGGCAACTACCATCCTCTCGACTTTACTGCATCACAGTGATAACGACAATCCCTGCAACAGTCAGTACTTTGTTTGGAGGAAGGCCATGCAAACCAAACACAGTCAACTTGTGTGTAGGCGTGTAAGGCACCGATGGGATAAGACTTGCATTACACACACCTTATGAACTGTGCGGTGTGTAACATTGGGTTCATAGTGAGGCTAGAAGGAAATGTATTGGTGTGGCAATATGTAAGGCACCAATGCGTTAATTGGATGCCCTAGGAGACAGCATTCCTACTTCTTATCTAAACGATTCAAGGTCAGTTTGCGTGTTCAGGAGCTAAGACGTCAAATTGGGGCTCCTTACGGCGATAGGCCGAAAACCCATTAGAGAGGCGCCCACGATCTTGAACTTTGCCATTAGTGCCACACCACAGCACGTGGGTTAGGTACTTGACCTGATATCCCGAAACGCCTCACTTACGGACGTGTTTCAATTACACCTACCTTAAATGGCATCATTGGCGGTATTTAAGGTAGCTACTGAAACACATAACAGAACTGCTATTTTGCTTAGATGCACCGATAAGAATGTAAAGCGATGGTTATGGACAGTCGTTGATGAACCCTTCCTTTTTAGAACTGTAGCTGAGCGATTACAACGCCTTTATTCCACATCCAATCTGACCATAAAACGAAGACAAATTTGTGACCTGCTCGAATTCATTACGTGATTATGGAGGAAAGCGCGTGAAGTTCAAAACATTGTAGTTGCACTGCCTTAGCCCTTATCGTTCGCTGAAAGCAAGCGAGGTTTCTGCATGCAGCTTGCTTTTCTTTCACTTGAAAAAATGCGCCACAGCACTTGCTAATTAGACAATGTCAGTGGGCG